TCTTCCCCCGGGGGAGGGGGAGCCGGTCCCGGGGCCGCAGCCGGGGTGCGCGGGGACCCCCAGGGCAGGAGGGAGCTGAGCATCGCGGCTCTTCCTCGGGGTCCGGGGGAAACGGGCGTGCAAAGGACGAGAGACAAAGCAGATTATTCACAGACGGGGAAGCCAGGCAGAAGCATTTGGACATAAATATCTGGCAAAAAATGAACACCTGAGCCCTGCAATCCGTAGAGAAAGACGGTCGGAAGAAAAGAAAGCGCGTCTTCCTGCGGTGAAGTATGGATCTCCCTCCCGCGGGAGGCAGGCAGGGCCTCCGAGCTGGCAAGAAGGACGGGTTGTTAGCCCCCGGGGGTGGGACGGGGAACCTCGCCTGGCAGCTCTCCGCCCTCACAAGACTCCCACAATCAGGGCCGGAAGGTAAATGCAGGCATGCGATATAACAGTCCCACACATCTGCAGCAGGAGGATGGAAAGTCCCAACATTCCGAACTAACCCCGTTCCCCGGGATTCTTTGGAAGCCATGGCTCTTTCACGGGGTCTGATTCTGCTTTGAAGGTACATTGCAGGTGTGGCCCGGGCGTGCTTTTTCCTTTCTTCTTTGAATAACTTTTTATTGAACTTTATAAACAAGGATAATAGAAGTAATGAATGATACCAATAATTAGACTGAGTCTTCTCATGTCATTTGTATATCACAAAAATAGCAAAATACATCTGCAGGAATATCTGCAATATATGTTTCATTATGAGTGTTCAACGTAGGATTCCTTGGTTTGATTCCTTGGTTCCTGAATAGGTTCAATAAATCCTTTGTATTCCACCACACCCCTCATCCTTTGCTACCTTAGGAGAGAAGTGTTCAAAGAGGAGCTCTCAGCAGGAAATAAGAGGGAGTTTGGTGCAGACCCAGTCCAGACCCATCTCATAGGGGGAGGGTGGCGCAGGGGTGTTTGGGCATGCGCCAGAGCCCGCCAAGGAAAGATGGGGTGGCAGAACATTGGGAGATAAGCCAGACCTCTGCAGAGTATATTCCCGAAGTGGCTTCCTTAAGAACAAAACCCCGTCCTTGCTTACAACAGCCCTAGAAGGCAGGCCGGGAAGTTCCCCCGATATTGCAGGAAGTCGAGGAGCAGGGCTGGGGCTGGAGGGGGGCTGAACCAGAGACTCTCTTCCTTGTCTGTTGGCAGCACTGGCGGCGCAGTCCCAAAGAAAGGAACTCCTTCACGCTCTCTCCTTCCCGCCACTCCAACCTAGTCCACAGACAAGGTCCCTCGAGAACCTTCCTTGTCCGCTACAGGAAACCCCGAGCTCCGCAAAGCCCTTGCGGGGATGTTAATAAGGGTCTTGAACAAACAAGAACCGCTCCAGCCCCCCAACCCCAAAGAGAACAAGGCGGAACTCCCTCCTGGCCAGAGGGCGGCGGAGCTGGCGCGCTAGGCTTGCCAAGGGTGAAAAGGCACGGCGCCGGATTCCTCGAGAGGACAAGAGAGGAAGGCATCCCGAGCCCAAGCGAAGGGTGAAAAGGCTGGCGCCCGGATTCCTCGAGAGACGGCCGGGCGCAGGTCCCTCGCTGGTCTCTTCCGGCTCGGCTCTCTCTCCTCCGGGAGCCTCGGAGGGCGAGTCTTTCTCCCCCGGGGAGGGGGAGCCGGGCCGCAGCCGGGGTGCGCGGGGACCCCCAGGGCAGGAGGGAGCTGAGCATCGCGGCTCTTCCTCGGGGTCCGGGGGAAACGGGCGTGCAAAGGACGAGAGACAAAGCAGATTATTCACAGACGGGGAAGCCAGGCAGAAGCATTTGGACATAATATCTGGGCAAAAATGAACACCTGAGCCCTGCAATCCGTAGAGAAGACGGTCGGAAGAAAAGAAAGCGCGTCTTTCCTGCGGTGAAGTATGGATCTCCCTCCGCGGGAGGCAGGCAGGGCTCCGAGCTGGCAAGAAGGACGGGTTGTTAGCCCCCGGGGTGGGACGGGGAACCTCGCCTGGCAGCTCTCCGCCTCACAAGACTCCACAATCAGGGCCGGAAGGTAAATGCAGGCATGCGATATAACAGTCCCGCAACATCTGCAGCAGGAGGATGGAAAGTCCCAACACTTCCGAACTAACCCCCGTTCCCCGGGATTCTTTGGAAGCCATGGCTCTTTCACGGGGTCTGATTCTGCTTTGAAGGTACATTGCAGGTGTGGCCCGGGCGTGCTTTTTCCTTTCTTCTTTGAATAACTTTTTAATTGAACTTTATAAACAAGGATAATAGAAAGTAATGAATGATACCAATAATTAGACGGAGTCTTCTCATGTCATTTGTCATATCACAAAAATAGCAAAATACATCTGCAGGAATATCTGCAATATATGTTTCATTATGAGTGTTCAACGTAGGATTCCTTGGTTTGATTCCTTGGTTCCTGAATAGGTTTAAACCAGAAGCAACATAGCATAGCCAAACTCCTAGAGAGGCAGCTTGTGGTTGCTCTTAGGTTAACTCTCCCCCCCCCCCTTCATGTTGCAAAATGGAAGAATGCTAGATGCCCTCATGGGTCCCTTCCAACTCTACAAATCTGTGATTCTTAATGGAAATGTTGGTCTATTGATGAGTTGTGGGAGGGAGGCTCAAAGTGAAGATGATGATTTATGTTTACATTTAAATTTAGATCAACCAGATTGAGCCAAGTACTGATGATGTGTGTGTTTTCTTCTGTAACCTCAAGGGGCAACAAAACCTCTGCAAATTCCAGCAGGCAAGTTCCCCACTTTCTTGAGGATGTGTGTTACTGCTGTTCTTGTTGTTGTTGTTATCACTATTTTTACTACTACTCCATTTATTATCCAGGGCGGGATACAGCAATTTTTAAAATCAACAAAATACAGTCACAGGAATAGGGTGGTCCTGTAAACACATGTCTGCGGTGTCAGAGGCTTTGGTGAATAGCGGAAGGTGCCAGATGTGCCTCTGTGGGAGGGAATTCCCCAACCAAGGAATGCCTCTCTTGGGACATCCCCCTTCCAAAACTCTGAGCGTGGTGAGACTACCAAGACCTCTCCCAATCCAAAAACATCCAATGGGTATTTTAGAGAAGGAGGTGGTTCTTCAGATAATGTGAGCACCTTGAATGGGGCTCAGAAATGAACTCACAACCAATGCAGCAGTTTTAAAAAAGCAAGTAAATGTGTTCTCAGGTCATTGTGGGGATTAAATGAGGAGGGGTGTAAGCCAAGTAGAGCTTTTTGGAGAAAAAGGTGGGATATAAATACAGTTAATAAAGAGAGCGAGCCCACCAGCTAGCCAATAATCTGGTCACTGCATTTTGGACCATCTTCCAAGTCCTCCTACAGCGTGGTGTAGTGGTTAAGAGTGGTGGACTCATAATCCGGTGAACTGGGTTCGCGTCTCCGCTCCTCCACATGCAGCTGCTGGGTGACCTTGGGCTAGTCACACTTCTCTGAAGTCTCTCAGCCCCACTCACCTCACAGAGTGTCTGTTGTGGGGGAGGAAGGGAAAGGAGAATGTGAGCCGCTTTGAGACTCCTGAAGGGGAGTGAAAGGTGGGATATCAAGTCCAAACTTCTTCTTTCTCCTCCTCCTCCTCCTCCTCCTCTTCTTCTCTTCAAGGACAGTTTCACACAGAGGGCATTGCAGTAATTCAATCTGATTCAGAGCATGGATTACAAGGGACACCTCGTCACAGTCCCAAAGGGACAGAGATGGCAAACTAGCCCAGAGCTGGAAATGGGCACTGCTAGTCCCTGAGGCCACCTGAGCCTCAAGTGACCCTGCTGGATTCAGGAGTACCCCCAGGCATATATGGCTGTGTGTGGGTTAAGCTTTGTCACACCATCATCATCATCATCATCATCATCATCATCATCATCATTATTAATCCACCCTTCACCTTCAGTTCCCAGGGCAGATTACAACATTAAAAACCACATTAAAACCGTTTAAAACAACTTACGATCTCAGAAATAAGATGAGTCTTTCTTTACTTGCTTTTTAGCGCTGTCCCTTGGCTCCACCCCCACGTGCTTTGAACTTACCCCCGTCATCCTCAGGGGGTTGGCCAGGTAAGTATCTGGCCCTCAGAACAAAAAAGGGAAGACCCCACACCAGTAGTATGTTTTGAGAACATTGGAGATTCCAAGTGCTAGAAAATGAGACAGAAACAGGAAAGGATTGTGTGTTTAGCGGGGGAGGACAGGACGGGGAGCAGCTTTTGAGGGCCCCAGGTTTAGGACCCCCACCACAGCCTAGTGTCCACAATGCATTTGGTACTCACTCGTCAGTCGCAGTTCTGACTTCATGCATTGACTGAAAGGCAGGAACAAGCGGGGTATTCATCTCACAGAAATGCCCTCAGTTGTCTGCACATTTAGTATGGCAACATTACTTCTAGGAGGGCTAAAGTCTTCCTTTTTCTTTTAGAGAAAGCTCAGAGTCTGTGCTGTGGTGCAGTCCAACCCTGGTTCCTAGTAAGACTCATCCACGCTTACTCAGGGAACATTTTTCTTCTCCTGACAGTATACCAATTTTATAACAGAACAATGCGCTTGTTTTGTAGGACTTGCTAGTGCTTCTAATTGGGACAGACAGAACTTGGCAGAAGAAAAAGGGATCTCCGCGAGGCTTCATGAGAGCACAAATGGATGAGCAAGACTCAGCTGACCCTGAAGCAGGAAGAGGCCATGCTATCAAAACTGGGAGCAGTGGGAGTTTCTGGGGAAACTCGCTGCAGAAGGTCCTGGGTGAGGAGGACACCCTCTGCTCAGAGGTGCAGAGCCAGCAGTTCAGGCAGCTCTGTTCCCTGGAGACTGAAGGACCCCGAGAAGTTTGCAACCAATTTTACCGTCTTGATGGTCAGTGGCTGAAGCCCGAAAGGCATACAAAAGTTCAGATGCTGGACCTGGTGATCATGGAGCAGTTCCTGGCTGTCCTTCCACTAGAGATGGAGTGCTGGGTGAGGGAATGTGGAGCAGAGACCAGTTCCCAGGCAGTAGCCCTGGCTGAAGGTTTTCTCCTGAGTCAGGCAGAGGAGAGGAAGCAGGCGGAGCAGCAGGTGAGAGAGACTTTCCTCTGGATGCTCCTAAGGGGCTCCAAACATGAGGGAGAGCATCCCTAAATCCATCCTTTTTTGGAAAGCATCCAAGAAATGCCTCTGCCATTCCTTTTCCAGTACTTCTCCAACTTCCCTGTTTTAAATCCTTGTTGCTCTTTCAGGGAAAGGAACTGTTTGCAGACAAGGGCTTGGATTCCTCAGAGAGGACTCTGTGGGAAACCAGAGAGAGGCTGTTGGGTAAGGACTGATGAGTTCTTTCTACATTTTGGCACATGCTATTGATTTTGAAACTAATATAATGGGTTCTTTGAATTCTTTTGAGGAAGACATTTGGGCCCAACATGGAGTCTACACACACATAAAAACTGTTCTGAAAATGCTTTTTAAAAAATACATTGACTTTTCCATAAGGCTCACCACCGTCATTTAGTGTCACATTGCATATTGCACTGAAAACACACTTAAAGCCTTTTATTTGTGGCTGTGTAGCTGAGTCCCAAGAACCCCAAGGAGTGGAGATCCATTTTTGTAGCATGAAAATGTGAAATGAGTACAAACATCCAAATGCACTCAGCAGGCAAGACTTTACGTAAGGCCCACCTGAAGTTAGAGTCGTGCTGCTTGACCTCTGAGAGAAGCATGCACCTGTGTCTTCCTACTTGCCTTCTTACTTACAGGTGACCAAATGATGCCATCAAGACATGCTCCTCCATCTTTTCATGGTGCTGGAGGGGAAGCAGCGGCTGTGGAACCAGATCAAGTAGGAGGAAGAAGCCTTGTGGGGAAAGAGGCTGAGGGGTGGGGCTGCCTGGGTGCCTCCGGGCCCAAATGAATCTCTCCCCCTCCTCCTGCTGCTGTGAAACTGCCCTTAACAAAGTCTGAACATGCCATTCCAGAAGATTTGTGTGCTGTGAATAATCAACAGCCACCTCTCCTTAACTAGGTTTCCGAGTGTTGCTAGTATTATTTACCGTATTTTTCACTCCATAGGGTGCACTGGACCATAAGGCGCACCTAGTTTTTAGGAGGGGAAAAAAAAATCTTATTCCCCACCCCAGCCCCAAAGAGCAGCGGACAGGCTTCTGGAGCTGTCAGGTGAAGCCCGGGTTCGCTGTCTTGGCTTCGTTTTTAGCCGTGCGCAACCTCTCCTGGCTGGAGAGGTTGCGTGCTGCCTTGGCTTTGTTTTTAGCCACGGGCTGGGGCAGGGGAAGCCCGAGCTTCCCCCGACCCCAGCCCCCAGAACAGGTCGGGGAGCGGCGGCAAGGTTGCACGCAGCCTTGCCTCCGCTCCCAGAGCTTGGGGGCTGGTGGGGGAAGCCCGGGTTCCCCGCCCCCAGCCCCAGGGACCACACATTCGCTCCATAAGACGCACAGACATTTCCCCTTAGTTTTTAAGAGGAAAAAAGTGCATCTTATGGAGTGAAAAATACGGTATGTTGTTGCACTTTTATTTATATATTTATTGTTGAATGCTAAGACAGGCTTCTAAGCAGTGGCCAGGAGTCCTCTAGCCAGCCACATCAGTTGCACAATGGGGCTCAGCTCCCTTTCCTCCCACTCCTTGTGCCCCCATGCACCCCTTGCAGTTGGCTTTAGGGCATTGGGAGCCCCCCCCCCCGCCGCCAAGAACAGCGCATTGGGGAGTGGAGTGGGGATCTTTCCATCTGGCAAGCTGGAATGCTTGCACAGAGAGAAGGATTTGAAGTTCCACCCTATTACACAAAATTAATACCCATCATTAAAATAGACAACAAAAAATCCATTAAAATGTTAAAACAAGCTCACATAATTGAAATGTGCAGCAAACCCATCCAATTAAAACAACACAGCAATTCACAGGCAGAAAATAGCAGAGCAGTGTACAGTTTATATTCTTCATGCTGTCTAAGAGGACAACCTTTTTCTTTTAGGGTCCAGTGTGCTTTGAAGATGTTGCTGTTCATTTCACAGATGAGGAATGGGTGTTGCTGGATCCTGACCAGAGAGCTCTGCATAAGGAAGTCATGGAGGAGAATCGTGAGGTCATGGACTCTCTCAGTAAGACTCCCTCTTGCTTCATAATTTCTGTTTTGATATTGAGTATTGTGACAAACCTCCAGTAATTGGATGGAGCTCAACAGCACCATCTACAGCATCAAGGATTCTAACTCCCCAATGGAGGACTATCAACTGTTTTGTCTGTGCATATTCTCCCTCCAGTTAGGCTTCAGAGCTGTTAGGAAAGTTGAAACAGCTTCTGTCAGGGTTTTTGGTTGACTCAAGAGAAAACTAACATTGGAGATGGAGAAGAATCCATGATTGGGCAAAGCAAAATCCATCCCAGAAAAGAGTCAGGCTTTATTGACCTCAGGTTCCTATAAATATGTCAGTTAATACAAAGACACTGAACCTTGTAGTA